TACATTCTTCCTTGGAGAGCCATAGGGGTTCGAATCCAAAAGACTTGTTGCCTCTACATTCATTTCCCTTCTTTTTGAGTGACACCATAATGGGAGCTTGATCCGAATACAAAATAGGAAAATTTCTGGCCTCGAACTCGGGGAATAAATTACACCAACTATCAGTTGCGAAAAATCTATCAAGCCTTTTCCTAACATATATATCCATAGAATTACCCCTTTCCCAAGTAAATATACTTCCTTTATAACCCAGATCACGAAGAGCACTTATCAATTACTTCCCGAAAGGCATCCATAACACTCTCCCTCCGTTGCGCCCCACCTTCCTTTTCAAGCATGCTTGTCACCTCATTAAAATCACCAAACATAATGCAAGGCACATTACAATCATCACAAAGAGACGACATAAGGGACCAAGCTTTATGCTTATTTGCTTGTTTCAGCCACCCATATATACCCATAGCACGCCATTTAGTCACATTATTTTCATCAACTACATTCTCCGCAAAATGGTGTTTAGAGTGAGAAACCGCATTCCACCCGACTTCCCTACACTACTAATACACACACCCTCAGTAAAGCCACATCTTTTTTTTCAGAATTTTTTCATCAAGCATCGTCTCCATATGTAACAACCCCAAATCTCCCTCTACGGAAATACCAATATAATACATATTATTATACCATAGAGATAGACTTAGGCGTATTACCGCCGCGTGATTACGCAAGGCTACTCAAAACTACTAAACCAAACCAAAACTTTGCAGCGGAAACTCAAACTCTTCCTTTATTAATACTTAATAAATATAGTAACCATTGTTATGAGTACTCAAAAATAGAAACAAAAACCAACATTCCTAAACTAGGTGAAGCATATCCCGAGGCTCCCAAATGCTCATTTATTGACTCCACCTGAAAATAGTCAACACTGCTTACCATTGAGGTAAACAGGGCGAACCAAAACAAATAGGAAATACGGATTAGCAAAATATGCTAAGTACGATAAGTGCAAGATAAGTAAATCCAATTTATTAGCAAACATGCTTTTAAAACCAATTCCAATAATTAATTAAATAATTCCCAAACTCATAATTCAAAATCAATTCTCAACCAATTCTCAAAATAAGTCCAATAACTCAATAATTCAATAATAGTGATTATTAAAATCAATTTCTCTTTTAAAAAACTCAATTCCTCTCCTAAGTGTGCACACCCTCCAAGCTAGTATCTTTATATTGAAATGTTATTCTTGAGGAAAGACTAGGTCATACAAAGTCCATAGTCTTAAATGAATCCGCATAGTGGGATTGATATAATCATGCTTGTAAAGCTTTTAATAAATAACTCAATAATTCCTCTTTAAATCAACAATTCCAATCTTTATAATAAATCAACTCAAAACTCCTTTTTATTTAATTCAACATGCTTTTAAAATCAAACCTCTTAAAACATGATAAATAATTCCATTACTCAAAATATGATATTAACATCAATCCTTCAATTTTATTTATTAAAACCAATTCCCTTAAACATTCTTTATTTCATAAATCATAATTCAAATCAATTTAATTCAATCATCATAGAAATCATACAAAACATCCTTATTCAATCCAATCAATTTCATAGGTATCCAGCAACCTAAATGTACCTTGATCCTTGCTTAGCAAACACACAAAAGGAACCTCAAGAACTCTTGTCAAAAACACCCTACAATTAAATATAACCTTAATCAATATAATGTCATCAAATAACCACAACAATTAAAATAAAACCCCCAACTATATGTACATGAACCTTATAAAATTCCTTTTCATAAACTTGAATAATAAACTGATTTTATTTAATTAAAAACACTCATAATAATTTTTATAAAACACCCATAATAATAATAATAATGATAGAATTAATTAGGAGAATAGAAGAAGAAGTAGAAAACCGAAGAAGAGGAGGAAGGAGAGGCACGACCAAGAGGCAACAGCACCATGGCACGTGGCTGCTGGTGGCTGGCCGGAGGAGGTGGCAGCTGGTGGTGGAGGTTGTGATTTATGGTGGTTGGCGCAAGAATTAAGAGAAAGAGAAAAGAATTAGAGAGAAATTAGAGAGAAGAAGAGAGCTTTTGGTGTGAGTTTTTAGCTATGATTCAAGGGGTATTTAAAGGCTAGTTCATGCAAGAATTAAGGTAAAAAAATGTTGGAAGAATTATGGCAATTTTGGTTTAAGGAATTACTTAGAAAAGAAAGCTAAAGAATTAAGGAAAGTTTATTTTTATGGTGATTAAGCAATTAAGAAATATGGTAAGTATGTTGTCATGAAAAATAATATGGTAAATGGCTTTTCTTGGGGAATAATCAATAATAGTTTAAGGTAAATAAATAAGATGATCAAATCTTTATGAGATGGGAAATAAGAATTAGGGAATTAATAAGAATTAAGGAAGATAATTAAAATACAAAACTACCAAAATAAATTGCTCAAAAATCACCCAAGATGGCCAAATTTTTTTAGCTTTCCTAAGCTCTTATTTTCAGCCCTCTGATTAGATTTTAGGAATTATTTTGCTAGATTTTAAGGATTAAAAATGATTGTGTAAATAATATATTTTTTATAAAATAATTAATTAGAAAAATACCAATTATTCACTAAATAATTTAATTAAGAAAATCAGATTTTCTTCACTAAGAAAATCCAAAAATTCCTAGCTAATTAATTAGGAAATTCGGCTCTTTTTTAATTAAATAAGAAAATATAATTTGCTTTATTAAAATATCAAATATATATATATATATATAATAAAATAAATTATATTATCCAAAATATCCGAAATATCCAATTTTTAAAATAAAATGAATGGATAATAAATCTTATCCAAAATCCAAAAATAATAATTAAGTTTTAAAATGTCTTTGGCGTCAATATTCAAATATCATTTTGGCTCCAAAATTCCCTCCAACAAAGATTTTGGAGGGCACGAACTTTCCACGGGTTCCCAAGCCCGTTGCAGTTCCAACTTATTATCTTCATTGTCGTTCGAGGACTTGACACACGCGAAAGCCCTCTTCTTTCTTTGAGATATGCATACTATCTGCTTGAGCTCCCACTTTTAATTTTTTCTCCCTAACTCCGTCCTCACCACAACATTCTCCATCCATCTCCTCCACACGCATTCTTCCCCGCCTTACACCACTCACTGCCCCATCCTCTCTAACACCTTTAGTTGATATTCCCTTCCCTCCTCGCACAATTTCTTCACCCCTCTTCTCACTAGACTCACCTACCCCTTCATTTTGATCAACATTTTTCAACATCTTTCTCCACCATCATCACATCATCATCATTTGCATTACCATCCACCCCCACATCAACAATTTGCTCCCCACTACCTAGTAAAGCCAGAGGTCTCAGAACCTTCTTGCGCTCTGAAAATTTTATCTTTTGATATTAGAAATCTTATCTAAATATATAACGAATGAAAAGAAATTCACAATCTATAAAAATATTAAATGATAATTTATGTATAATGAGTAAAATTACAAATTTTATCACATACATACAAAAAATAATTGTTTTAAAAAAAATACAAACAAACCGTACATCGCACGGGTTTCATCTAGTTACAATTATTTTTGTGTAAGGTGCATAATTATTATTTATATTCATGTATAATAGCCAATTATTTTTTAAATGTACGAATTACAAACATGGTTTTATATAACCCTGCATCGCATGAGTTCTAACCTAGTTTTAAAGATATTACGTGATAAAAAATCACGCCTAATACGTTGATCTGAGTTGAACCTTTTTTTTTTAATCTAATTTGATCTGAATTTACTTTTTCAGATCTGATCTGAATTTATATTTTCTAAAATAAATACTCCTTCATTTTTAAGGACATGTTCTCTTCAACTTATTTCAGATACTAATTTCAGATTTTTGTTTAGATTAAATTTAATCAAATCAGAACAATTCAGACAAGATCAGATTAATTCAGATCAGACCAGAAAAGTTCAGACTAGATCAGATCAAACCAGAACACATACTTTATTATTATTATTATTATTAAAGAGTTAGTAATAATTATAATGAAAATAATAAAATAGTATAAAATAAATATATATATTTCAAATAAGTAATAATTATAAAAATAAAAATTAAGTTGTCAAACAATAACAAGAAAATTTAGACCAGATCAGACTAGATATATTCAGATGAGACCAGAAATATTCAGATGAGACCAGAAAGATTTAGATCAGATCAGACCAGATCTTACAAAATTCATACCTGATCTCCTTATTTCAGGTGAAGAGAACAAGTCCTAAATACTTGCTCCACTTTCTATTTCCGATCGCTTTTAAAAATTTGCTCCACTTCCTGTACTTGAGTGAGAGTTTCCCTTCATACGACTCAAATCATTCTTAGATGCCCTGAGAGGGCATCCTTTCCTTCTTGGCTTGAGCTAAGCGGTATGGTAAGGCCTTTTGAGGCAGTGCCATATGTTGAATGACACTAGGGTTGCTGATCTCTTCCTGTTGATGCAAGTAACTGAACTGCCTTAAGATACGAATGGTAGCCCACAACCTTTTCTGGCCTTGCGCCCTATTTGGAAAACTTTTACAATATTTTATTCATTTCTCTAAACTAGTGGACCTAACATGAATCATACTTCCTCTGTTCCATAAATATTGCAACAAAGATGAAATTACGCATCCCAAAGCATATTTTATATGTTAAATATCTATTATTATATATGAGTAAATTTATAAAAAAATTGATATTGTAAAAATATTTTACAAGACGAATCTAACAAAATCTCACATAACTATATTTTACTTTACGTATAAATCATAATATGTGGTCAAACAAGTGTGATGAATAATGCAAAAGCCCAGTTGTTGCAATATTACTAGAACGAAAGAAGTATCTTATTAATTTTATATTCTCATTCCTCCGTTATATTTGCTTTTTACAATTTTTTATTTTCACGTTCCCTATTATCTCTATATTTTATTACTTTTTGCCACGGAGGGAGAAAAATAAGGTGAACTAATGTTAATTAATGGAACGAGGGGTTTCAAAATAAAAAAATAAAAAAAATAACGGAACGAGGAAACTCGATAAGACATCTCTTTTGGCTTTCATTGGTACCTAACATCGGGTGATCATCTCCCAGTTTCCAGATCTCAGTTTCATGTGAAGGATTCCCGGCGAGATCTGATTCCCTAATTAGAGTACAACAATGACGGCTGTTTCTGTTCATAAGTTTGCTCAGTGCATCACTTGCCATGCCTGGAGTCCTGACCATTCAAGTACTTTCTCTCTTCATACATTTCTTTTGGATTTTGTTTAATTTTCATTTCAATCTTATGGTTTTGGGTGAAATTAATTTTAATTTTGCCTGCATTGGTTGTGGATCAAATTATTGTTAATTGGGTTTTTATGGATTTTCATATTAATCAGTGTTATCTTGTTGGTTTAGCAAATTGGGCGTTAAATTTGATTTCATGTTATTTATTTTGATGTACCCACTTTGTTTAATTGAGTAATTAAACAAAGGTCATATTTTCTTGGCGGGGCTAAATGACAATTCTGTAATGTATCTTTAAATCAAAGAGGAGATCAGTAAATTAAATGTTTGATAAATAAATTATCATTTCATGAAATTATAATTTAAATTCTAAAGGTATAAGCTTTTAGGCAATTTGCGCACCCAGTATCCCAGATGAAATTTGCCCTGAAACCCTTTTAATAAGAGTGAAACAGATGAAATTCTCGGAAAGTTTATGGAATTTGTTCCTGGGTTTGATCATATTGCTGATTTGGTTTGTGTTGAACTATTAGTTCTGTGAGCTATAGGAAGAGTATTATCATCTTTGGAGGATAGATTCTGGCTTTTGTGGAAAGTGTTGTTTTAACTCGAAGCCTTATCTACTGTCAAACTATACCTGTTCAAATGGCTGACTATGCTTGCTTCGGGAACCCGATTTAGGTGTAGGTGGTGTTTTTCTCTATTGTCTAGCCTATTTGACTGGGCTGAGTAGAATTACTCAACACGGGTAGGAGCTAGTGAGCTACACAGGGAACTGATTTGCAGACTGTTTAAGAGAGAGCTAAAACATTGGATGTCACAGAAGAGGGAATTGTTACATTTGTTCTACCTTTTGGGTTTATGTCCTCTCATGGGAATGACCCTTTTTACCAGAACAGCTAAACTCTTGGAGATAAATGTCTTAAGCTTTATGAAAATTTAGGACTATGATTCTAGTAACTTGCTTCAATACTTTACCACTTGTGTTTCTGTGATTGCTTCATCAACTGTCCGGTCAACTATTCCACCTATGACACCAACATGAAACACCTTTGAATTCTGTGTTATTTGAGCTAAAAAAAAGAAAGTTTCTGGTAAGGTGTGTTGTTCTCGCTGCTTCTTTATATCCAAACTGGACTGGTAGTCGAGAGTAGTGGTGATTCCACTGAGAGGGGCTAGTTTATTTTACTTTTAAAGCAGCTTGTCAATTCCCACAACCCTTGATCTGTGTTAATGGTTTTCTGCGATTTTCCTTAAGTGTATTCCTGGCTAGTCAATTGATCGATATATTTTACTAAAGCGTCAAGGACAGTATTTACTCATTTATTTATTCGTTATTATGTGGATAAAATATCTTAGTGCTTGTTTGGTTGACATATAAATTCATGATTAGTTGAATACCCTAGGAAATATATATATATATGTTCACTTGTTTATAGGAAATTACATAGGAAGCGGAACTTTCTAGGTAGTTTTACTTCTTGTGAACCAAATTGAGGATGTTGCTTGCCGAGCTCCCTCTAGGTAAGTGGAACTACATTGTGAAAGAGAACTTCCTATACCTAATCAAACAAATTTTGGTTGATCTTAGAAAATAAACTGGCAGAAGTGAAGTTTGGAATCATTGTGGTTTTCTATCTTCAGATTAACAAATGGAACTTTATATAAAGGTTAAACTTCCTATATGTAATTAAACAACAACTTAATGTAAAGCTTACATTTGAGCAACCAAGCTGTTTTTCCAAACGTCCTTTGTTAGTCTAGGTGAGCCACACTAATTAAAAGGGTTAGGGTTTAGGTTGGAATTTTCATACAACCTTGTGATTGTATGACTTTTGATGTACTATTAGTCAATCAACCAAGTGCTATTATTTGCTTTATAGTTTTCCATCTGTATTATCTCCAACTCATTGTCTGTTTGCCAGCTTTTAAATATAGACATTCTCTGTGATGCACGAGCTCAATTGTGTAGCAGGAGTTTAGGTTTTCGCATGATTCTTCCGTATAAACACTGTCATTTAGCTCATAGAGCTGTTGTTGGGAGGGGAGGGGGGCTCCAAACAGAAGTTGCATGCATTAATAGCTTCTCGTAGGATATTTGTATAGCTAAGAACTTTGCTAGGGAAAGCTGAAACACTGAAGTTTTATAGTCACTCATCTCGCAGAAAGCTGATAAATGCACTTTATAATCCCTCAGATCCAAGATATATCTACTTTTTATTTATACAGGTCTCAATAAGAACTACATTGGCGAAATTTTAATGGTTCACTTAGAATCTTATTTTCTTATAGTGCAAGTGACCTTCACATTTCCATGTCCCAAGACTGAGAACTTAGCACTTTTTGTAGGGATATATAGGATACTTCTGAATAGGCTTGTGCTTAATTAATTGTTCCATTGATTCACATATCGTGTTATAACAAGCTCTATCATGTTGCTGCCTCCTATAGTTCCATTGTCTTTTTTTTTTTTTTCATACAACCAATTTATAGCATGACTTGTTTTTTTCCTCCTAGTGATTGCTGTATGCCCAAATACTGAAGAAGTCCACATTTATCAATCATCGACTGACAAATGGGAAAAAGTACATGTCCTTCAAAAGGTATTATGATGTAGGTTTTTTTTTTTTTTTTTTTTTTTCTCCTTTTTTCTGTGGAATTGATATTCTCATTTTATGTTTAGTTCTGTCTTGCAGAATTAATAGGTTAATTTTGGAACAAATTTCCACTTGTTGATTTAATATTTGATGAGGGACATGGAGTGTCATATAATACTGTTGTAAATACATGTTTTAGTGTCGATTTTGTTAGGACTTCAAGTTTTCTAAGCTTTGATGGAAAATTTTCATCTATGTTTTTGGTCCCCCCACCCCCCCCCCCCTTTTAAATCATTGTGAACTGATGCTTCTTTAAAATCTTGTTATTTCAACTGAATCAATGAAGATCATCTAGAACTATCACTGTAAAATTTTCGTTGGAGGTAGTTTATGGCACTTAAAAAGTAAAGATGTCCTTCGATAATGAAATTAAGTATGAATAAATGAAGTGAGCTTGTAAATTCAAAGATGATTCATAATAATTTCTGAATTGGTTGTTATTTGGCAGTGTTTAGCTGACTTAATCTTGAAGTTTGTCATGTTTTCTTTTGTTGTAGCATGATCAAGTTGTATGCGGTATAGACTGGAGCTCAAACATGAACAAAATCGTGACTGTTTCTCATGATCGAAATTCGTGAGTTATTTTTTGGTCTAGAATGTGGTTTTCACATTCTAATAGAGTTTTCTAAGTGCTTTGATGACCAAACTAGATTCGTCCTTACGGTTGAGATGAATTCCTTTGTTTGACATATTTTATGTTAATTTCTCTTTATTTCAGGTATGTTTGGCACCATGAAGGAGGTGAATGGGTTCCAACACTAGTTATCCTAAGATTAAACCGTGCTGCCCTATGTGTGCAATGGAGTCCGAAAGGTATCTTAATTTAAGACCTTATTTTCCTTTTGGTAACTTAGGGTTTAATTATATTTGAATGGAGCTCAATATTAAGAAATTGAGATAAAATATCACTAATAAAAAATCGGCATCTAAATCATACCAATGTAGTTTTTTTTTATCTCTTAGTTAAGGGTATTATCAAGGGTATGGGAAAGTTCAAACTTTAGATTAACAAATATAAAAAATGCCCTTTTTTATTTGGGGGTATGGGGGTTGGAGGGGGGGGGGGGGTACCCAGAAATTTGGCCTATTATTTTGTTACAAAGAAAGTAATGTACTATAATTTGTGTACGCATGTTTTTAATTCCAAGACAGTATTCTTTGTGGATCATGTCATAAATTTTTTGTTTATGAATCTGACCCTTTTGGGAATATGGCCATGATTTTTTTGTTGCAATTAATGGTTATTGTTTTTCATCCATATGACGTTATACATGTTTTCTTGAGTGTGCATGCCTTAACTCTATGCAAACAAATACTACCTCCTTTTCATATTGTTTGCAATGATTGGACATAAAGTGTGAGTAGAAAATGTCTAATAGTTGCAAATACTACCTGAGTTTCTTATTATTTACAACAAAAGAATATTTTATGTCTCATAAATAATACCCCTTTGTTACAAATAATAAGAAATGAAGATAGTAATATGAAACAGGGGTAGTATAGAATTTTCATTATTAATAACTATCTTAAGCAAGTAGTGGCTTTCAATCCCTTCTTAGATCCTTTTTATGTCCTCTGGCATAATTTAAGTACCCAACATGTCTCAAACCCTATCAACTTTTCCAATCAATACTTTTTAACTGTAATATTTAACCAATGTAAGTAAAAATAAGGTGAAGAGGAACACCCTTTAGCTAGGCTTTGTGATTGATTTTATCAAATTTCTATATTACTTTGGACAGATATGAAATATGTCCTCAATGAATAGACACATTATTTATTTGACTTACCTTTGGTCATATATTTTTTCGCATGTGGACTTTGGTGGCCTTTTCCATGTATCTCCGTTTATGGTATCTTTATCTCATGGATTATCCCTATAGGAGACACACATTCTTAAAGAGGCCATTCCAAACTTATATATATTTACATACTCTTGTTTCAGAAAACAAGTTTGCTGTTGGTAGTGGTGCTAAGACAGTTTGCATATGCTACTATGAACAAGAAAATAACTGGTAAGTAAACTGCATGTTGTGATCATAGGACCTGTTTTTGCTTTCATATTCATTTGTGGCTGTGATGAGCCCGGTCTTCCTGTGGGGTTTTCCTATCTCTGAATTTCTTGCACCAAAGTGATTTATATTTGAATACTTGCTGACAGTTTTCGTTGGCCTTAGTTGGAGTTGAAAATATTAAGGTTTAGACAATTGTTATAGGCTGTTGGTGGCTTTAATAATCACTTGATGTGGAAATTAGTATTGTTCCATGTGTGGCAAGGAAATGAAACAATTGAGATGGTAAATTACAAATTGGATGATCAAGTTAGTGATATCACCTGTAATAATAAAAGCCTATAAATGTTAGAAAACTGTAATCAATAAGTCTTAATTTTGCTATATATGGATTTCCTCTGTAAATTTCAATAAATTATCATATTCTGCTTAGCTATGTATGATGAATCTCAAATCTCAACTGCTCAAGTTGCAGTTGAGAAGATGGATTTAGATGCTATACCTCTCTGTGACATCACCTGGAAGCAGGATATTAGAAGTTAAATAGAGAAAAAATCAGCATGCATATCTTTAATTTTGAACTCTTTTACATTTGAAATTACTCATGGTTGTCAAATAAGACAGTTTGATATGCTCCTTTTTTGACTTGTATTGCTTCAAATGTTTACATTCTGAAATGGTGCCGAAATTGGGTGACAGTAAATCAAGCTTTGTGAAAAAAAATCTACACTATGGCCCTCGGGGTGCGGAAGGGTAGTACTGTAGTAGGACTTAATCATGTATCTTAGTAGATTTTTGCATGCCAAACATTAAGAATTGGTTAATTTTCCAATTTTTTTAACTTTTGAAGGGGGTCACCAATTCTATTCTGTTATTTCTATTTGGATCGTTTGTGTTGGCAAGTACTCCCTCCGTTTTTAAATACTTGCTCCACTTTCCATTTTCGGCCGTTTTAAAATACTTGCTCCATTTCCTTATTTGGAAAACATTTACAATATTTAATTCATTTCTCTCAACTAGTGGACCCAACATAAATCATATTTTATTAATTTCATATTTTCTCTTCTCCAATTCTCTCAACTACTTTCACCTACCCCACTACCTCCATATATTATTACTTTCTCCAATTTCTCCTAAAACTCCGCGCATGGAGAAATGAAGCAAGTATTTAAAAACGGGGGGAGTAAAAGAAAAGCATGTATATTTGTTCTATTTGTTACGTGCAAGTAGCTTGATTTTTTGTATGTTTGGCTGCCATGGCTGGATGCATCAATGATCAGTGATGTCTAATATACTGCTTCAGGTGGGTCAGTAAACTTATAAGGAAAAAGCACAACTCTTCTGTGACAAGTGTTGCCTGGCATCCCAATAATGTGAGGCTTTTTTTTTTTTCTTTAATCCTCTTTATGCTTTATTATATGTTAGTGGCTGCTATCACCTTTCTGATTGCACATTGTTGAAATTCTACTGCTGTATTTCTGGGTTTCCTTGTTATGTTCTTGTTAGTACCTACTTTAACTCTGCATGACATGTGTGATATAGTGCTATGGTGTATCGTGTTTTTATATTTTGTGTTGTACTTATTGGCAAGAGTAATAAAAACAGTGCTGGCTTCCCTATTTAATATCCTGAGGACTGAGGCTACAGCCAGATTTATCTTTATAACCAACCACCAACATTCTTCAGATTCTCTAGTCTATATATTCAGCATCTTGTCTGCAACATGTTCTTGTTCTGTTTGGCTTGCGTGTTAGTTAGCCTTGATCTTTTTATAAATAGTTCAGAATTAGAAGAGCTGCAAATTTTTGAAGTTAATATAGGTTCAAAATTGAATTCTGCCTTCTCTGCTGACTTGATGATGAAGATTTGTGGTTACAAGGAAGAAAGTGGTGTTCTTGTACCATAATGGGATAGGAAATTTAAAGGAAGACGAGAGCTAATGGAATTAGGGGATCTAGAGGAAGAAGAAAATGGAATAACTTAGAGAAGGAAAATAGAGAATAGAAGATCCTTAAAAAAGGGGGAAATTTATTGAGTCTCGGGTATTATTGATTGTAACATGGTATTACCATAGAAATAAGGCTTTTGTTTTTTTTTTTGAAAAAGTTTGGAATAGTGAATGATGACAAATGTTATTGTAGCGTTAGAGTCATTAGACTCATTATGCTACTCTGAAGTAAAAATACTATCACAATAAGTTTATTGAGATCCCCCTGGGACACCCACCCCCTAAGCTGTGAAATAAAAGAAAGCTTTTGAGCTTTTTATAACTGGTTACCCTTCTTGTTTTATTTTTATTTATTTATTTATTTATTTATTTATTTATTTATTTTTTGTTGCTTCTTCATTTTCTAACTATTGGAAATTGAATTATTTGCATTTCAAGTAGTTTGTTACATCTAATATTCATTTCCTCTTTGCAATCTTTCTAATTTGTTATGTTTATAATAGATTCTTTTGGCAACCACGTCAACAGATGGAAAATGCAGAATATTTTCCACTTTTATCAAGGGTGTTGATACAAGGTATTACCTCAAGTGCTTCTTGACTTTTGGAAAAAAAATTCCTGTACCTTTCTTCATTTTTTGTTGTATTGTTTTCAGGAATTCTGAAGCTGGCTCTTCATCTGATACAAAATTTGGAGAGGTCCTTGATCTATTCTTTTTCTTCTGTTTTTTTTTTTTTTTTTTTTTTTTTTTTTTTTTTTTTTTTTGTGTTCTCTGTCATTATTTAATTCTGTTGCTTTTGCAATTAAAATTTATTTCTTGAATATGGATTCTGACACTGTTCATACTGGAGTATATACTGAAATATGGACTAATTTGAGATGATATAGTGATGTGAAGATTAGTCTCTGAGTTTGTAATAAGCTGACATAAGCAGACAGATTTAGTGACGTTGAACTTTGGGTGAAAGATGTTTTAAAATAATAATAAATTGGAATTACAGAAGATTGAAGATAAATGTCAAGTATTCGATGACTTGACGCTCTCTCAAAGCTAACTAATAAAGCTAAAATAACAACTCAATATTTTCCATGGAATTTTCTTTCCTACTCTCCTTGAGTAAATCTGATTCCTCCCCCTCTAACTAACCTGCTATCTTTCTTCTCAAGATACTACTAATAAAATTATGTAGGCGTACCCATAATTTTCTCCCCATAGACTGGTTATTACAGAATTTTCTTTATTGTTATATACCTTAATCGTGAGGCAAAGGCCTCAACACCCTGAACTGTAGCTCAGGGCCAGCACCCCGAACTTTGACTAGTGGTTGGCTCACAATCAACTATGGATTGGGGTGCAACGCGTGCCATTAATGGGTTTCCAAATTAATGACACACCAGCAACTTTCCAAATAGCATTATAGAGACATTATTTTCCAATTTCCATGTTATTTGTGAAATATGACCAGTCTCATAGCATGGTTCGAAAATGCGGTTTCAGTCGTGATCGCGGAAACGGTCGCTTTGATTCGGTAACAAAATTGATGCGTTGATCGCAGATCTTATCGCGGTTGTCGCGTAAGAATTTAAAATTATATTTATGTTTTAAACTATGTATTTTACAATGATTTTTCTTTAAAAACTTTAAAAATCTTATATTCTTATACAAATATACTGCTGTATTTCCCTTTTTACTATTCTGTATTCCTGGTAATGCTGACAACAGGTATTTCCATATCCCTCCTCTTTTTGCAGCAAATTCTACAGCTTGATCTTTCATATTCATGGGCATTTGGCGTAAAATGGTCTCCTAGTGGCAACACCCTAGCTTATGTTGGTAAGAATTTTTTTAGTAATCATATCTTATTCTAGAAACTCATTTTTCTTAACATGGTCTTTCATTTTTATGCGGATATTCAGGTCATAACTCAATGATATACTTTGTTGATGATGTTGGTCCGTCACCTTTGGCACAAAGTGTCGCATTCCGTGATTTGCCTCTCCGTGATGTGGGTCAGCATCCTCTCTCATCAACTTCACTAGGAAATTGCTGCTTCATTACTTTTATCTTCAAACTCATATCTGATTTTATGTGCATTTATCTTGCAGGTCTATTTTGTGTCTGAGAAGATGGTCATAGGTGTGGGATTTGACTGCAATCCTATGGTTTTTGCTGCAGATGAAAGTGGGTTGTGGTAAAATAACTTGCCTGTTTTGCTGCTCTGACAAATTTGCCGGCCTTTGAGTTCCTGTTTCACGAGTGGATTATAAAATTTAGTCTGTTTTTTAATATACAAGTGCATATCTTTTTCTTTTCTTTTACATAGATGAATATTTTACTTTGCTCTCTTGCAGGAGCTTTATTAAATTTCTTGGTCAAAAGCAGACAACTCCAACGAATGCAAGGGCTGGTTCTCAGGTAATTCTAGTGCTATAGTTTTTGGCATGCTAAGATATTTCAAAAAAATTCTGTGACTGGGTTCCCTTGTCTTTGATACCCACATTGTCTAGTTAGAGGGGTAGGAGTTGGGTCTATATTTAAGTTTTTTGTCCGTTTGAGGTCTTTACTTATAAGAAGTTTTCATTTCTGTTATGGAATTACTGCATAGACAAGTTAATGTGCACAGCTTGTACTTAAGACTATTAAACCCAGTTATGTGCTAGAAGGATTGCTTTATAGGGTGAGATTTTAAGTTTGGCTGGCTTGTTTGGTTACTGGCAATCAATATCGGTAAAGAAAATGGATTTAAGTTTACTTTGACAATACATGTAAAATCTTTATGTCCATGGTAATGCAATTTCATCCCCAAACTTGAATTTTTTCCATAATTGTCCATTACCACCCAATACAAATGGTAATGGATAGTAATGAAAATTTGTGAGATATTTTGAGGTGAACTAGCAATACCATAGGAATAGTATTGGATGTTATTTTACAAATGTATATACAAATCACGATTTCCAAAGGTTTTATGAGCAGTTATTGTTACAATTTTATACAGCTTAAATTGCTGATGATAGTTCCATAGTTGATGCAAAAATATTACTGTCACAGATTTCAGGAGCATTTGGAAAACTATATGGTAATTCAAAGTACAACAATGTCAATGATAACGGCAATGATTCTTACTCGAGTGGACGTGCCCATGAAAACTGCATTACGTATGACCTTACCCTGCAATTAGATTATTCTTTTTTTATTTATTGACGGTAATTTTTGCTCAAAGTTTTATATGTATAGCTAATATGGTTGACTTAAATTCAGCTGCATTGTGCCATTGAAAAAGGGAAGAGACTCAAAAGTGACGCGCTTCAGTACTTCAGGTACACAAAAGCTTGTTATCTTAAGTTGGTAACTTGTTGTTGAAAGTTTCGAGGTAGATAAGGCTGACTAATGCTTTTTTTTTTACTTACAACTAATTCTAGGACTTGATGGTAAGGTGGTCATTTGGGATTTGGAAGGCCAAGACCTGGCAGACTATTACTGAAACAAACAGAAGATCTGGGTCTTGTGAGGGCGCTAATGAGTTTGGAGCTTATAGAACTATTATCTGTAAATCAGATCTTCTCTCAGTTAAAGAAGCTGATTTCCCAGCAACTGCATCCAGTGACAGGAACAGAATATCTCTGTAATTGATGCAGATTTCGGGTATATGAGAAGTACGGAGTAAATATAGTTATACTGTTTGAAAATATATTTGTAGGTCCGAAAGTAAAACATTCTTGTTTTGATAATGTGTATTCTCGGTATTGTTGTTACTTTTCCTTCATATAAAAATACTTGGTTTTATGGCAAATTGGTATAAGGCATGTTATTGCTGCTGTAGTGCAATAAAATTCCTGCAGTACGTGGTTGTTTAGAAGCGTATTGGGGATATAAACAATGGTTTGACCAAGTCAATCTGCTGTTTTGGCTATGAGCATTTCTCAGAGAATTTCTCTTTGGCGAGCTTCTCTCATGGTCTAGGAACTTTGGTCCTAATGGCCTGGGGGAGGGTATACAGAAAAGGTGTAGTGATGGACCCCCTTGTTCTGGTATTGTCGGCTGAGCAAATTGAAAAATATTAAATAAACAAAAAAATCAAAAGGCAATTTGAAATGTAAAACAAGAGAGAGAAAACAAAAGGGTTTCAGTTCAAAGAAGAGAGAAGAGAGAAGAGAGGAGAGAGGAGAGAAGAGAGAGAAAGCGAACGGCGAAAAAACTCCCAAAGGTGGCGATTCAAAGCTCGATCTGAGTACTTCGGCAAATTCGAACAAGTGTTTCGGTAATCTTCCCCCTACGAGTAAGTTATTTATATATGTTGAACTAGAAGACGAATTTTGAAGTTAGGATTTTTATGCGATGTGGGTAATTAGGGAAAATTGGATTAATTTTGTAGTATTACTTGTGTGAATATGCGTAATTGTATGGAAAATGTTTATTAATTGAAAGAATATAGTTTAATGTAGGGTTTTTGATGTTACAAATTGATTGGTATCTTGAAATTGGGGAAAAGTGGTATTAAAATAGATTAGTTTGAAGACTTGATCTGATTATAGTATAAAACTAGATGAAGTCCATGCGATGCACGGTTTGTTTGTATTTTTTTCAAATAAAATATTTTACTAATATACAATGATTATTAACTTTGTTTCTCATATTTAGATAAATTAGATGAAAGCCCGTGCGATGCACGATTTTTCATACATATATCTCAAGAAAAGATATTTCCTATATACTCTAAGTTTTTTTTTTTTTTTTAATTATTTGATTTATTTTACAATTTAATAATTTCATACAAAAAAAAAAAATAATAATAATTTAATTAAAATGATATTGCCAATTACAAAAGTATAATTTTTTTGATGTAATTTATAATGCGACTTAATTTATTGTTGTTTTGTATTTTATTCGTTGTTAGTTATATGACAATAATATGATATCTTTAAAAAAAAAAATTTGTAAATATCATATTTCATTGATTACATATTAGGATAAAATCTTTAATGTGAAAAGATATTAATTTTTTATTTTTAAAATAATTTAAATCCTAAATCATTATTCGTTGCTTTTTACACTTGAAATTAAACTTGCAAATCTATATATCATTTTGTATATTTCTTGTGATCTCTTGATCTCTAACAAATTATATGTCTTTTCAAATTTTTAGAAATAAAATGTTTAAAGAAGGTAAAGTTTTTTATTGAGTTATAAGTTTTAAATTTTTTTATGAAAAAAACATCTTATTAATCAGGTATTTAGATAAAACCACTAATTTCATAAGATAATTTTTATTTTTTTAATAATTTAAATCCTAATATCCCACGGTTTTTTATACATAAAATCTCATAAAAATAACTTTTGTAATTAGATCATACTCATAATATTTTTGAACATTAAAAATAATAGTTATTAGATGTAACATTTCGATGTAAAAAAATTTGTATTAAAAAAATAAATTCGATAGGATCACCAACTTTGTTCACACTGATATCTCTTCCATCTAATAAAAGTGGATAAATAGAACATGTTATCAAAAATAAAATTTATATAAAATTAATCTTTATAGTCTTATAAAATAAATTAAAATATCTACCAGAAAGTGAATAATTGTTGTGAAATTAATCTAAAAATTGTAATTATACAAAATTAAATCTATGGATTGGAATTTTTTCATCGTCCCCAATTGCCCAAACAATATTATTTTGGAAATTGAATCATTATTTTATTGTCGCTGACAATGCGTGCGATATTGCTTCTTATTTGTAACGACTGAAAAGTATCTAATGGAGTAGATTTTTTCCTTCAATCAATTTAGAACAAAATTGTAGAACAAAGTTGACTTTAATTGAGGCATGAACGTAATCACCTTGTAATTAAAAATAAGATTAAGTTAATTTTATGACTTAATTAAGCTACCTAAATCACAAAAAATTTGTTTTAATCATAAAATTAATTGATAAAAACTAAAAGGCATTAAAAGGTTTAATCAATGTAAACGATTTATAAAGATATAATACCTCCTCATCCAATAGGATCATCAGGCGAGAAACTCGTACTTTGATATTCCAAAGATTTTTGCTCGAATATAATTCTCTGATTAAATTAGATCTGCATGTAAAAACAAAATTCAGTAAACAAAACATAAACATATAATCATTAAGTATCCCAAATAAACACAATTTAAGCAATAATCACAAATATACTTTTAAACATGGGTTTTAAAAATTAGGCTAAGAATTACCCAGCCATTGATGACCTAATAAAACTGACACAAAATTTGCTTGGTTTGGTTTTGTATTGATACGAAATTTTGTTGGTGTCATATGATGCGTCAATTTATAATGGTAAAGATAACAAATTTTAATTTAATTTTAATTAAGGAATAATCTTTATTTCTTATCATAAACACTATCAAAATTTATCTGATAATAGTAAGTATATAAATCCTATATCTAAAGATGATTATTTTAAAAGATAATTTTTAGTTTTTTAAATAAATTAAATCCTAATAAATCAATATTCGTTGTTTTTACTTACGTGGCAAAATTCTTAAATCTCATTCGTCACTTTTGCTTAGGTGGCAAACGAATTTTTTAATTCCAAAATAAAATAGAAATCTAATTTTTAATTGGTTGAAATTATACCTTTGCTTATGTGGCGCGCCGAATGCTCTTGAAAAATGCCTACTTTATTTATATATATTAGGTTCGCAATATAAAAAGATAATATTTTTTTCACAAAGTTTCAAATGTGGCTAGTCATACCGTGTGGTCGGGATTACTTGGCCAGGAGTTACTTAGTTGGTCAAAGGTTACTTAATCGATCAGGGATTACTCAGACGGTCAAGGGTTATTCGGTATGTGTTTGGGAGTGTCTCAGCCGGCCACACGATATGACCAACCACACAAAAAACGTACTGATTTTATTTTTATAATTAATATAAAATTTTGATCTAAATAAAATTGTAATTCTTTTTTTAATTGGCTAAAATATAACATTTTCCTATGTGACGCTATAAAATTACTTACGTGGCATAATCCTATTGTAGCGTTTTAGAATTGTTAATCCTACATGGCGATTTTTTTTTTATTATAATCCTACATAGCGCTTTAAAAAAAACTAATCTTGTGTGGCAAAATTCTATTGTAGCGTTTTGAAAATATTAATCCTAAGTGGCGCTCTAATAATATTTTTAAAATTAAAATCCTACGTGACGCTCTAAAAACTCAGGAAAAAACTCCCCTTTATATATATATATATATATATATATATATATATATATATATATATATATATATATTAGATTGTACAAATAAAATGAAAATTTGTTATAGAAGTGAGGGATTCGGAATTTTTTAAGGGTTTTGAAAACTTTTGAAGTTAGGGTTTTGCGAGTTTTTAATTAATAAAATAAATTGGTACATATTTTTATTAATCGCTCTGCTTTTGTCAGTGGTTTTGAATTTGTAGTAGTCTTTCATGTAGCATCGTCATTCTTCTACCTATTTTTTGAGTTGATATTTTTCAAGTTAAGTTGTATATAAACTTTCTGCCTCTATGATTGTGGTTTTTATTTTCTACTATTGTCAATGGTCTTGAATTTCTTGATATGTTGTTACCGCAATTTGTGTTGGGCTCTGAGGTTTTGAGCACAATCCCAAATGCCACCCCTATCCTTGTGAATGCCCTCAAATTTTCTAATATAAATTGATCTGTTGTTATTTTTCAAGTTAAGCTGTATATAAGTTGTATACGAACATGAGCCTTTCTTTGTGAGAATGTAGCTAATTTTAATGAGAAGCAGTTTCTAGTGCAGTGATTCTGAAACTAATGAGTATGTATGTGCTCATGATGATTAAGATTTTGAGTGGAAAAGTGGATGCAATTTCGTAATATAAATGAGTGTGATTCAGTCATTCAACGATTAACTTTTTAGATTATGTATTGATGTCATTCTCACTTAGCTATGTGATATGAATTGTACTTTGCCTTGTGATACGTTTTTTATGCTAGCGTTTGCTCTTGGTTCTACCACTTTGATAGTAAGGAAAATGTACGATTTCATTATGTGATTGAAAGTATGCTTTTAGTTGTAAAAATAATTATGTATTGTGATAGAGAAAAGAAAATAAAATAAAACTGTGTGGCTTGTTATGGAAGTAGGTTCGAAATTGAAATCTCTGAGGTAATAAAACTGCTTGATGTTTATGTAGTGATGGACTTGTTTAGGGAATGTAACTTGTATGCTTGACAATATTACTAGTCAGCTTTAGTTGCTTGATGTGTATATAGTGATTGGATATTCAATTTGTTTTTATATTTTTGGTTTTTTTTGAATTTTATTGTTTTGTTTGTCATCCTAAACATCTAAATGGCTTGTGTGTGTGTGTCAAACAACCTCAGCCATGGTGTTTAAGAAGGGCGACTCTTCTATAGGGCCAAGAAGTAGTATCAGGGTGAGTAATTGTATTGTGTTAAATTTTGTTGTCGTTATATTTTTTGTTAACTTGTTGGTGTTTTTTGAGGGTTAAGTTGGTTTCATGTGTGTATCTCTAGGCCAGTGTTAGTAAGATAATGAGGGATCACCCGGCTGGTTCCAGCAACCCTCGCAAAAGGAAAGCAGAAGGAAGTAATTGTTGAGCCGGAACCAGATGTGCTATTTGATGATGATGAATTGAGGTCCGGCAATGAGGATGATTATTCTAAAGATGAAGATTGTGTGGTAGGACCAGGGAAGCGAATTTGAGGACCAGTCATTTGAAGATGAGGAGCATGTTACGGTCTGGCGAAGAAGCCGCCCGAAGGTTGAAGAAAGGCGAAGGGGTCACGCTGTGCATAGGGGTCAGGCTGTTCATAGGGGTGTGATTAGAAGAAAAGATGCTCCACCTAGGGCACCGCCAGCGCCGCTGCCGCCCAGG